GGCGTCAGCATTCCCGACGTGGCCCTCAAGGGAGAATGGAAAGGCGAGAAAGCCTTCAGGAAGGGCGAGACGCCCCAAATCTCTCTGTCGGACGTCGACCTGAAGCTGAAGGGGCCCCAGGCGAAGGGGGAGGTGGGCGTCGCCATCCCCGGAGCGGAGGGGGACGTCAAAGGACTCGGCCCTAAGGGGGTCAAGATGGACGTGAAGGCGCCTGACGTCGGATTTGGAAGCCCGGTGGGGTCCCTGAGGGGGCCCGGGCTGGACGTTGGTGTGGAGGGGCCGCAGGCGGGGCCCTGACGTTGATGTGACCCTTCCCAAGGGCGAGGTGGAGATTTCCAGTCCCCAGATGGACATCTCCGGTCCCAAGGTCGATGTCCATGTGCCCAGCGTGGCCATCAAAGGGCCGGAAGGCAAAGTGACCGGCCCCAGGGTCCGTGTGCCGGACGTTGACCTGACCCTGGAAGGCACCAAGGCGAAGGGTGACCTGGGTGTTTCCATTCCCACGGCCACAGTGGATTTGAAGGGCCCCCAACTCGAGCTCAAGGGCCCCCAAGTTGACGTTGGAGCCCCCGGACGTCGATCTGCATCTGAAAGGTCCCGGAGTGAAGGGGGACCTGGGTGTTTGCGCCCCGAAACTGGAAGGGGAGCTGAAAGAGCCGGGCCTTGACATCAAGGGCCCCCAAGTTGACGTTGGAGCCCCCGACGTGGACATCCAACGCCCGGCGGTCCCAAGGTCGATGTCCATGTGCCCAGCGTGGCCATCAAAGGGCCGGAAGGCAAAGTGACCGGCCCCAAGGTGACGATGCCCGAGATGCACATCAAGACCCCCCAAATCTCCATGCCCGACATCGACCTGAACCTCAAAGGCCCCAGAGTGAAGGGGGACCTGGATGTTTGCGCCCCGAAACTGGAAGGGGAGCTGAAAGCGCCGGGCCTTGACATCAAGGGCCCCCAAGTTGACGTTGGAGCCCCCGACGTGGCCATCCACGGAGGGGAAACTGAAGATCCCCAAACTCAAAATGCCCAAATTTGGGGTGCCCGGCCTGAAGGGGGAGGGCCCCGACGTCGACGTGACCCTTCCCAAGGGCGAGGTGGAGATTTCTGGTCCCGAGGTGGACATCTCCGGTCCCAAGGTCGATGTCCATGTGCCCAGCGTGGCCATCGAGGGGCCGGAAGGCAAAGGGAAAGGTCTGAAATTTAAAATGCCCGAGTTAAACATCCAGACGCCGAAACTGCCGGTGCCGGATGTCGACCTCGGTTTGAAGGCCCCCAAACTGAAAGGAGATGCCGATCTTTCCGGCCTGAAGGCCTCGGGAGATGTGAAGGGTCCCAAAATCCATATGGAAGGTCCTAAAGTGGATGTCGAGATGCCTGAGGTAGACTTGGAATGCCCGGAAGGGAAAATCAAAGGCCCCAAATTTAAGATGCCGAAGCTCAACATCCGAACGCCTAAAATCTCCATGCCAGATGTGGATCTGAACTTGAAGGGACATAAAACGAAAGGAGAGATGGATGTTTCCCTGCCGAAGGTCGAAGGTGACGTGAAAGAACCCGGTGTTACCATCAAGGGACCGAAAATAGACGTTGAGGTCCCGGATGTCAACCTGGAGTGTCCAGAGGCCAAACTGAAAGCGCCGAAAATGAAAATGCCCCATTGGAACGTCTCCGGCCCGAAATTGGAAGGAGCCGATATCGCTGTCCACCTGCCAAAGGGAGAGATGGACATCTCCGGGCTGGAGGCAGATCTCGAAGGGCCAGAGGTGGATGTCGGAGGAGCAGAAGGAAAATGGAAAGGCCCCAAGTTCAGGATGCCGAAGCTGAATATCAAAACACCCAAAATCTCCATGCCCGACGTGGACCTGAACCTAAAGGGCCCGAGAGTGAAAGGAGACCTGGATGTGGCGGCCCCGAAGGTGGAAGGGGACGTGAAAGGGCCAGAAATAGACATTAAAGGGCCAAAACTAGACGTGGAGGCACCCAATCTTGAGTTGGAGGGGGCTGAAGGGAAGGGGAAGGGCCCCAAGTTCA